TTTTTGTATTAAATTTGTATCGAATAGCTCATATGCCGTCTTGATTTGATATATCTCATGTTGTATAAGTGATTAATCTTCTGAGATAAATAAACGAGATACCCCCCTTAGACGTCGCTACGAAATACGTCATTCCGCAATTTTTGCAATGGATAATTCCTCAAGGATCACAGAGATCACGAACACGTTATTTCAAGAAATAATGTCGCGTGGTCGATCGGAAGATAGCACACGCGTAACGATATCTCCGTTCTCTCTCTCTTTTCTTATCGCTCTTCTTTCTTCGGTATTTGACGTAGGAACGGTCCCGAGTTTGGAGCAAATACCATCAGAGAGATAGAAGGACGTAACGTTGCGTAAATTTAATAGACGTATTTGATGTGTTTTTCTATTATTGTTTTATCGTGGTCCTGAAGAACCACGACGTTGCAAAATACTCGAAGATGCATATTTTGCAGTTTCAAGTATTTATTTTGCAACATCGTTTTATTTTACGCAATATTGATATTAGGATAATAACAATCTTAAAACTTCGCTTTTGAATCGCGTTTCGAGAAAAGCTGCATCTCTTATCATTTTCTTTATACGTTAATTCTGAGAATCGAGATTTTTCGATAAAAACACGTTCGGCGCACTATAGCGATATCTTATTAAAAAGTCCCCTGTTGTTTAGAGAGATCAACAAATGAATAGAAAGCGAATATCTCATTAGTGATAGGAACGTTGTTTATCGTCGAATATGAATCATGAGTTGCAATATTTTCATAGCAGTTAAGAGTTCCAATAAAAGATCTTAATAAGAATAAAACTAATAATCGAGATTAACGAATTGAGAGGTATGATTTTTTAATTACGCTCATTTGTCAGATAGATGAATTTTAGATAGCAAGACTTGATGACCTTGGGGAAATATGAAAATCTATATGAGATTCATACGAACAATTCCTAAAGCCTTAAACACAATTCTCTCAATCATCTTATTTTTATTCGATATTTTATCGAGGTACTTCATTAATCAGCATCTTGTAAATACCTTATCTCACATTGATTGTTATCACATTGATTCATCATTGATTGTTCTCTTTTTCCTCCTTAAGAGAGATTGCGAGCATATTTTGAATACCGTGGCAAATATATACGGACATGTATTCTAATTTTATACATTTTATATATGTATATATACAAATATGCGTACAATGAAAAATATATTTTTTAATGTTATATATTTTAATTAAATTAATTAAATAATTTCTAATAAATAATAAATAATAAATAAATACTAATACATAAATAATCTTTATAAACATATGTCTATAATATATAAAATTAAAACATAATTTTATTTTTTATATATTTTAAATTACTTAATGAAAAATTCTTAAATAAGTATCAACGCATAAATCTGCATATGCAAATTACACACGAATGTATCTCTAAAAAATGATAATTAATCACCCGCGACTTTCTTGAATGATATTAAGTTCTCTGTAATATATTTAATCAAATAATTTTTACTTAATGGAACTGTTTACGTGAAATTGTGACAATAACGGCGATTAATAAATTATTGCATTTCATTGCGTTGTACTTTCGAATATTCTTATCGGAGAACTTCGGCTCCGCTTCACTCGATAACTTGTGCAGCCTCTCCGTTAAGTACCGCAAGATGAATGAATTTATCGCCGTCGATCGAATTCCAGCGATGCATTGGTGTCAAACTCGCGAATAACAGTCTCAGATTGGTCCTGCTTCGATTCATGATCGTTTCTTCTCTTTTTTTTTTCAGGCGAAATGACGAGCAATGTATTACGCGTGGCACGTGAAGCGCGACAACGTACCCTCGGACCGTTCAGTCCGTCCTTCAATGTGCAAGAGATCTTGCTGAGCAGCTTGCGAAAGGTGAACGAAGCAAGAAACGACATTACCACAGTAGAATTTGTATTTCTAGTAGTCTGTTTATGTGCGCCGTTTTGGATCTACTCTAAATAACGTTCTTGTACCATCTAGCATGCTAAGCTCCGAACTATGCTCGAATTCTGCAAAATAAACTCCGTTAGATTCGGCTATTATTGGAAACCAAAGTAATCACGCGTTTTAGCCGTTTTGATCGAAGAAATATATTGACTTACGTATAAATTAAACTAAAAATATATATAAAAAGATTATTTTGAAATTTATACAAAATTTAGAAGAAAAGCGCGATGTCTAGCATAATTTTGAAGAGATTCTCAAATTACGATAATTATAAATGAACGAAAATGATCTTAATTCGATTAATATTGTACAAATCTCTTACCAATTTATTTTTCTAATAATAAAGATGCGTATAGGAAATTCACGTTTGCTACCGTATTTATTCTACTCTTAATGTCGTTTTTATTCCAGTTTTTGCCCGACGACGCACATATTCGGGTCAACGGAAAATTACACATCTCCCTAACGAGAGTATATGATGGCAAGAACGTGATCGTCTCTCAATTCAATTCAAAAGAGGATTTGCTGCAGGTAAGAAAAACATATATGTTAGATCAATGTGACAGATTAATTCACGATAAAGTTTCGTTAAAACAGAATATTGAAAGATATCTTGGAAAATAATCTTCTATCTCTTCGGAGAAATTTCGTGTAATACAAAAATATTGAAGTCTATTTTTTTCATGCAGATATCATGATAATTTTCTTTCCCTCGCGGGGTCATTCGTTCTCCTACTTTAATTTTTTTTTTAAATATTTTCTGCAGGCTCTGCTAGCCACTTCGTTCGTACCGCTATTTTCTGGTTTGCTACCACCACGTTTCCACGGTATCAGATACATGGACGGCGGTTTTAGCGACAATCTTCCTACGCTCGACGAAAACACTATTACGGTTAGTCCGTTCTGCGGAGAGAGCGATATCTGCCCGAGGGACATCTCGTCTCAACTTTTTCACGTACGTATTCGTATTAGTAAACTAATTTTCCTCATTAAACAAGTTAAAACAACTTTGACAATATAATTAAATTAACAAGTTTATCTTTGTTAACTCGGCGAGTTTATAATTACCATTTATTTGCATTAATTATATGTATCCTTGCAGGTCAATGTCGCCAATACAAGCATAGAGCTCTCCAGACAAAATATATACAGGTTCACGAAGATACTCTTTCCGCCCAAAACGGAGGTAAAATACAATTATTAATTATGTCCTTTGATGCGTTAAATACTGTCTTAAATGTAGCAGACGTTAAGTAATTTTATGTACTTTTAAATTACATTACAGATCCTCTCGAGTATGTGTAAGCAAGGCTTCGACGATGCATTGCGATTTCTACATCGTAATAATCTACTTAACTGCACGAGGTGTCTCGCGGTTCAGTCGACGTACATAGTCCAGGAAACGATTGACGATAGCATGGAATATGATCCGGAATGTTTGGAGTGTAAAATGCACAGACAGGTGAGAGAGATCCACAATGCCTGCAACAATTGTATTTTTGATAATATTATTTCACTCTTTTAAAATTTAATTTTAGTAGTTTTTTGTTGACTTTTTTGCTCTTAAATTATCTTTATTTTACGTTTTTATTCCGTTTTTAGGAAGCATTGGTAGCTAATATGCCCGAGACTGTGATGACAATATTTCAGGATGCTATAGACTCTGCCAACAAGGGGCTTGTTAATTGGCTGTTTAAGCATCGTAGCATGAAGCTGCTTTCGTTGTTGAGTTTACCTTGCACGCTACCGGCAGATGTAATGTACGCTACAGTCACAAAGTAAGTAACTGTTGAAATATAATGCGCAAGTAAATATGCATCACATACGTGCTTCACATGGAGAACGATTTTTTTTTTATACACATGCACGTGCACACATAAATAATTATTAATGCTTTTGGTTTTCTTTTCATTAATTGGAGGTGCTGCATGTCACAAATATATACTTTGTAAATAATATTCTTTATTATTAAATATTACAGATCAATTATTAAGGAATATTTTTGTCTAGAAGGTAGTTTTGAAAGCAAATTTTATTTAAACATAAAAATTGGATATTTTGTGTATATATTTATTCAAATTATAGCAATTGATATTTCTTTATAAATGTAGATTTAATATTTTCAGAATTAATAGCTACATATGTTCCATTTTGAGAAAAGTCTATAGGATATGTAAAATTGGAGAACTTTTATCTTATTTAAACTGAACGAAACAATTTTTAATCTAACGAGAAGTCGGTATCATCCGTAGAACGTAGAATACTCTGCAAATATATTTTTTGAAGATTTTTAAAGTTTAAGAGAATGCAATTTTTTTGCATTAAAGGCAATTTTTACAAGAAAGAAATCCTCTAGACAGGAATGCCACCTTAAGGTTGTTTTATTATTTTTTATTACATTGCATTGCATTGCATTGCATGAGCAACATTGTCAACGTTGATACATATCACAGATTCAGTCATTTGGTACAATTTCATGCATAATTATCGCTTGTGATATTGTATTTAACGTCATGCATGTCATTGGTAGTCTGATTGGTAACAAGATAGAAACTCGTACCTTGGAATACAAAATAGTCGGAAATGTTCTGCGTACCCCGCAACAGCCACTTACTTGCAATAAGCGTTTAACACACTCCCGGTAAGCATAAAATTCTCAGATGTAATGCTTTCTTTATTTTGTGATATACCAACGTACACCTACGAAATTATCAAAGCATTTATTGTCTGATTGTGAGATCTTATTTTCAATTGTAAATATATTTTGATGCACGTATTAAATCTTTGTCATTTTTTTTTTAACAATACACTCACGAATTTTTTGCATTAGTTGTGCTTATATTTTGTAGAGGTTCGAAAGATAAAAAAAAATAATAAATGAACGTATCTCAGCGGATAGACGTCTGTCATAAATATCTGTGTAAATAATTATTTGTAATATTTTATAATAATGTTCTTTGTGATTAATGAAACACATATTTTTTTTTATTTCAGATTCATTACGAGCGTTCCGAAACTACGACATAACTTAGTGGAATTAAGTAAATTTGTCTTAGAGCAGTTGAGTATAATGTTCCCGAAAATCAATGTCTATGCCGAGCCGATACCTCAAACGATCAAGTGTTATTTCAATATTACGGAATATGATTCGAGTGAGTATATGTTGAGTTTTAATAATTTGATTATTAATTAATCAAATTATTAATCTAATTAATTACAAAAGAAAATTTGTTATCATCTAATTGCCTTACTTATAAATAACATGTAAATGTTTTAATTTGGTTTAAATAATTTGATAGTAATTTTTATATTTTCAAATGTTGCAGACACATATAATGTGCAAACTATAGACGAAACAGATGCTATATACAAAAAGCAAAAGAATTTGAACTTAACTCTTCAATACAACGAATGGTAAGTAATTATAGTGGAGAGATAGTTGTCATAAAATTATATTTAACAAATTTTTGGATTAATTGTCATCACTGTTGAAATATTTCACGTTACAGCGGTCAATGGAAAGATTCAAGAAAATCCAATTGTGTAATAAACATGGGCGACTTTGCATCAGTGGATGATACTTTCGAAAATATTCTCCAAGTAATAAAAATAATGAAAAATTTAAAACGTGTCTGGATAGATTATAGATAAATTTTATATTGAATCTTATATCTCTTTTCAGGCAACTTCGGATCAAGAGGCCGTAATGGCGTATTATTACATGGATGATAACAATAAAGTGCAAGTGACAGAGATCTTCGATGTAACGGAATCGGAATCGCATACCGTGCTTTCCATGGATGAAGTTGACACCAATAAAAAACTCCAATTCGATGATTGGGACGAACCTTCATGGTTATCTCAGCACACGTTCAATGATGGTAATTAATTTGCATTTTCTTCTCATGAGAAATATCAATGATACAGATTTATGATAAATATTTTAATATGAATTATTCACTGATTTTGAATGTTAGTTCAAGTTAATTCTTTAACTGAAATTTTGTAAAATATGCGCAGCGGCTACAGAGTCTCTCTATACCGATGGAAATCAGCAAAGCGAAAATTTGTCGGATGTATCGTTCGAAGACGAGATACTGGATAGCGCAAATATATTCTCCGATCCGGAAAGTGAGTGGGAGGTGGAGAAGGACCCAGAACAAGTGGAGGTGTCTAAATCTCCGGACAGTCGGCCGGAAGTAGATCAACCATCCACAAGCTTGCTATGAGTTAGTAGCTTATGTTATCGTTACCATATATAGTTTGAAAATGTAATTTTTTTTTTAAATATGTTGCAAGAAAATATGTTATTTAATTTACTATGAATAATTTACAGAGTGAGACATTTAAATTACTACTTTTATTTATTCTTTTTCCGATATTCAAGTATATAATTTTTATACTTTGTTACGTAAAAGTTTAACACTATAACTATATTTTTATTATGTCATTATTTTAATTTTAAAATAATTTTTTTGGAAGTAATGAATCTGCATATGCCATAAATCCATACATACAGCACTATAACACGTGTGCTTTTTTATTTCATTACATGTATGGCATTCCGAGTTAAATGTCCCACTCTATGTAAACATGTACTTTTCATTCTGTTTGTTCTTGCAAGATATAATTAAGACGAAGCGTTTATACACAAGCACAATTATTGAACACGTGCCAATAATGCCAAATGCATTTAAGCGTCTCTAATACGACGTGTAACAGTATTTTGTTCGTAATCCAAGTCTTCTAACTCAGATTTGAAAATTTAATATTTAGTAACGAGCGCTCGAGTGAATTGATACATGTCACACAAAGAGACTGATATATATCGGTGATGAAAAAGCAAAATGGTCCCAAAAACCAATGATATTTTTAAATGTAGAAAGAAACTACAGAATCAATTTTTCTTCAGCAAAATTATCGAGACGAGTGTAATTCGAACAATGAACGATTGAAAATAAAGAGCTGACGCGTGGACTGGACTTCAGAAGAGAAAATAAATGACATATTATTTCATTTGAAATTGATATATGATGCTAAAAATTAAACGATTATTTTTTTTACTATAAAATGGTGGTGAATTCTATCGATTGAATAAAAAAAATTATCTTACAAATTATTCATGATTGTTTCTAATTATCGATTTGTAGTTAAAAGAATATCTGACGACACGTTCTGCTTATATGATATAAAAAATTACAGCGAACTTTTAGAATATATTGAACGGACAAATATTTGACAAACTTGAGTTTGGAAATCATGTGTTTCCGAGCTATAAGATGTTTCCTCTTGGTAAATTTTCACTTTTCAACTTTAAATTCCATATGTCCATTGTTAATTTTAATATTTGTTTGGACACGTTTCTTCAGGAAATGTATAAGTTCGAACATGATTTTAGACTTACGTTTATTAAATATTATTTTTATTTTCTTTGATAATTACTATTTTTAACTTTAACAGTAATTTTTTATACTCAATATAATCTGACGTGCAATTATTTTTTTTCTGCTGCTGTAAGGTCTATATTTATCACACAATTTCCTAAAGTCTACGATTGTCTGAGATATAATGTGTTAACAGTGATGACATTTCAATTCAAAAAATTTCGATGAATATAAATTATATAAAGTGTAAATTATCTTTATTATAATTACTTATCGCTCGTTATATATATAATATACATATATTGAATAGATTCTGATTCTTTTGTCTCCTACATTTCTCTTCTATATACGTAGTAAATATCTGCAAACGTTTCTAAAAAATTTCGATGAAAGTAACTCAATCTGTACGATGGCAACTACCTCTATTATAATTTTGCCATCGTTCAAGAAGTTATTGAAATATAACGAATCTGGAGGTTGTGAAAATAGGATATATAGTTTAAGAATATCTTAACATTTAAGATTATTTTAGAATAAGTTTCTGTATTGTTTGTCACACCATCTTCCTGCTAGCGTTAATTATCGATGGATAATTATTATTTCATAAGGCAATTTCTACAATTTCAAGTTAGTATAATCTCGAAGCTACAGGTTATTTATAATAAATTCTGTTATAATAGATTATAACAGAAATCTTTGTGATCATATACGGCTGGGTCTGAGTGTTGAAGATTATACAGATTTTTATATTGCGTTACAAAACATAATTTAGTTAACTACTGATCATGACCAGTTTAGCTTAGGAAACATTTTATTACTATTGTTTTATTAACATGTTTTTAGTTATAATTGAATTTATGCTTACAAACTTTTTAGTACATAGCCTACATATTCCACTTTATACAAGACTGGGAATGTATAATGTGTAAAAGAAAATTTGCCTATAATTTGGGATAATTTTATTTAGAAAATGGGAATACAAAAAATATAAATAATAATTGCTGTGAAATGTTCCTATATGAAATTATCTCAAATGGATATGCAAATTCTCTTTTTTACTCATTGTAGGCTTCAACAATGCAATTTTTTAATATATTTGTATCGCGCAATTTTGATTATCGAGTTAAATATTTTATCTAATTATAAACAGCCTTCCTATTTGTTAATCTATCAATGATCCAATTAAAGTTATTCTATAAAAAAAGTTGGTCTCTTTGATAAATTTTTTTCCTCTTTTTAAGATATTGATAAAATTATGGTGATTACATTGTGAATGGTTACGCTTATTGTTGTGTTATCTTACCTAAATAGAGTAAGTAGAATAAATGCTAACGAATGAATCAAATCGACAATCAAATTAATTCTGTTTATAATTTATGTATAAAAAAAACATTAAAGTGAAAATAGATTGATATTTAGAAAATACTTTTAGCTAGATATAAATTTTGAATGACTTGTAAACAAAATGTATGTGAGGAAACATTTATATTTTATAAACGACGAGTTCTAATGATATTTCATAAGTATTAACAAAATATTTATTTTTTGGTATTTTTTAAATGCTATCGATTCTTTTACTTTGCAAAGTTTCGGTTATCTATATATATGAATGTATAGATGAACATTAAATACCATTGCGTAAAAGAACAAATGCATTTGTTTTGCTAATTTTCTAGTCTTGTTTAGCACATGGATATTCTTTGACAATTTATGATGTTAAAATACCAAAAAAATATTTTGTGGTATTATATATATGAAATATGTACTTTTCTTACGATTACACAAATAAAAATTGTGCAGACATATCAAAGTGTATAAATAAATGTTAACCACAAGTAGATTACATAATTTTTTAGAAAAATGGAATAAATTTTAATATATTAAACAAAATTTGTCTGATGTCATCAGACAAATGTAATTTGTCTTGATGTACATAATAAAATAAAATAAAGTACAGCTATAAGCTATAAGTTTTGTTTTTGTCAGTACTCGTAAAATAAATTAAGAATTGACGATGAGATTCTGGTGTTATAAAAAGGGGTAAAGATCAATAAAAACTGGAATATTTATTATGTTTTTAATATAAAACAAATCGTATTGTATATATATCTATATATATATGTATATATATATATACATATTGTATATATACGTTGTATGTACAATAATTGAAACCTTCCCTAAAGTAACATTTTAAGGCGGACATTTGGAAAAAAAAAACGCATATATTGCACATGGTCATAAACATTACACGTAATACTGATTTGGTAAAATATCCCTTGTATATGTTCTTGAATAACTTGTATACTTTCATTCGGAAGATGCGAATCAATTATAGAGTAAAACTCTTTATAATTACGTAAACATTCAAAAGAAAAAAAAAACAAAAATTTATCATACGATTTCCACATGCAAAAATTAAAATCAATTCATAATCATGATTCTGCAAAAACATGCCTCACTACATTTCTTTCAGGCGGGCTTCAATTATTTCGACGTAACATGATCATTATCATTTATTTGAACATATTCAGGCGGGGTCCTCCCCCGGGGCAGACGTAGAGTTTCTCTGAGCTTCAATTTGCGTCCTACTTTGAGAACTTCCCGCTGCGACGGCAACTTTATGCTGTGCAGCTAGTAACTGTTGAAGCTGTAAAATCGAAAGAAATGTTTCTCAGCTCCTACGCAATAATGTAGCTGGATTCTTTAATTTAAAAATCAAAATGTTACTTCCCAAGTAACAAGATGACATCGAATGGCGGTTCAATAACGTCTTATTAACGTTAGAGACATTATTAAGACGTTATCTTGCTATTTGACACTCGATACTTTGAGATAAAGTCTCTGATTAGTTAATTTCTCTTAATTAAAAACGTACTTGTTGTTGAGATAGAGTCGCCACCCCGAGACTTTGCGTTTGCTGGCTGCATTGGCCGGTAGAAGCCCTAGCGTGCAAGGATTTTGTCAACAGAGTTTGTTTATTAACAGGTACTACTTGGGAAGTAGGCGTCGTCTGTGATGCCATAAGCACAGCAGGTTTCGTCGCGGCTGCGAAGTGGATTCATATATTTTTATATACATATGTAGACATCGCTGATTGATAAGCGCAAAAGATCACAATTTCTTCCATGAATATAGACTTGGCGGATTATTGACTTACCCATTATAGGTGTTAATACTTGTTGTTTGTTACCAGATAATATTAGCTGACTCGCCGTTACTGTTTTAGCAACTGTCACCAATTGATTCGACAAGACGGCCGATTTAACTTGATTCGATTGTACTTGACGAGTCATATGATTAAATCGCGGTCTTTGAGATCCAATAAGTTGAATTGCTTGCCCTCCCTAAGATTACATAACGTTTACGTGAATTACTAACAATGTATACTAAAAATTGCTAATGTATTGCACATTTATGCTATTATAAAGTGTAAAAAAAAGAGTAAACAGTTTTGAATATTAAATACCTGGGCAAGAGTCACTGCGTTGTTACTCCTAATATTTTGCTGCGATAATCCTTTTACTCCAGATGGTATTAATTGGGCTGAAATGTATATAATCAATTTGTAAATATCAAGAGCTGTATATAGATAACAATAAATATTATAAATCTCAAGAATGAGATACTCTCATATGTGTAGTCATGTGTTTGAAGTTTCTAATTAAAGCTTATGAACATCAAGATTTTTTATGTATTTTCCATAAATAAAATTATAGAAACTAAAGAGTTTAAACATCTCTAGTTAAAAAATACGAGTACTTAACGTGAAAATATTTAAGATTTAATTTAGACCTACGATATGATAAGCTCAGACAGTAATATCCATGGGATACAATTACCGATTGGTAAAGACAAATGAGCATTGGCAGGATTGGCGATCACTACGGTTGGCGTACTCCCAGCGATAGCTGTTGTAACGACAGTTCCAGCTACCATCTGAAATAGTGTAACGATCGGATGATATTCACAAATTACTTCTTATTTAGTCATGAGTATATTTTACACATTGATATTAGCTCTTTTAACGCAATTAACATTTTTATATATAATAATTTACTACATGTATATTATATATGTAGTGAAAAAGCGAGTTGATACTAACGCTTGATACTGTCGTGCAGGTATTTGTGGCGGACGATATAGGGAGGGAAACGATGACCCCAGTAGGTGTGACGGTTCCACCAGTGGATGGAGACACGTTCAACGACATGAGAGGTTGTGAAAAACTTGCGAACGATACCTGGAATGGACAATGTTGTTAATTCATCAGATCTGTAGCGGCTTATACGAGGAAAAAATAAACTGCGATTTTTTTAACCTGAACGTTTTGTAGACCGTTAATGGAATTCGGCAGACTAGTGAGATTCACGCCTTGTAAATTCACGTTAGTTGCCGACGGGCTCGTCATCGGACTCGCTGGTTGTTGGCTGCTCTGACTGGAAGAAGCGGTAAGCCGTTCGAGTAACGATGAAGTCGAATTCATTCCGGGTATCGGATTGTCAGCTGATGGTGTGCCTGTTCACATGCAGATAATTATACTATTAATAAAAATAGAAGAAAATGGTGGACAAAGAAGTGGAAAGAAAGAATCGTTTAATTATATAAATATTCCAAACACTCAAAACAAGATTATAAAAATTTGCCGTAACAAATTAATGTGTAAAAGACTATATTCTATATTTTCTTGCTTAAATAGCGTTAATTTATAGAACAAATTTATTTAGATTTATTTAGATATCCTTTACTGTACCAGCAAGCAAAGCCGAAAGTCCCGGCATTGATAATCCAAGGGTAGACGTAGGATCCTGGACTCGCGCGAGTCTTACAGCGGTCGCTTTCACTGGCTGCTGCTTGCAACTTAGCTGTCCAGTTAAAGCCGAAGAGCTTAAGCTCACGCGTACCTAACATAATAAAAACAGAAATCGAATAAGCAACATTTAATGACACACTTTACATCAGAGAGAGAGAGAGAGAGAGAGAGAGAGAGAATAATTATCAAATAATTAATTATATATATACCAGTTACATTATAAGAATTTCAAATATATAAAGAAATTATATTAATTTTATATTGAAATTTTATATATATATTAACTAAACTATGCTAAATGCATGTAGTACAAAATATAAAAATTATTAACAAATTAATTGAATTATTTATTAAACATACTTGACCAGTGGTGTTGGGCACGTTGATCACATTGCCGTGACTGATAACTCTAGGTGGGATGGAAGCATTGAGAGAGATCCTTTGGGGTTGAACCTTTCGTTGAGCTATATTCGCAGGAGTGCTGTTTAATAAACTAAGGATCGCGGCATTATTGGACTTGTTTGTGGCTTGTGCATTGTTATTCAAAGCTGCGGCTGCAGCATTCGCTGCAAAACACATAAGATATAAAATCAATATTACGAATCTACAAGTATATGTTTATAAAAAATATATGATCAAAGGAAGCAAAGTTATGTATATATCGTGGAGCGATGGTAAACCTGCAGCTTGTTGCTGGAATTGCTGTGCGGAGTTCATGAGGGAAGTAACAAGAGCGCTTATTGCTGGATTAGTCGAATGTTTCTTAAACGGCGGCTCACTTTGACTCTGATTGGCAGCCTCGCCTATACAGTTCTGGGCTCCCGCTTGCAACTGCGCTTGCTGCACATTTCAAATACAAGATTCAAAAATTAAATCCTAAACTTAATACAGATTTCAATGTCGTGTGTCACCAAATTCAGTGTCAGTTAATGAAATACACGCGAAGAAATATGGAGGCTCACCAAAACTGGAACATTAGTGGCCGTCGCGTTATTAATGGTACCAGCCGACTTCTGAAAGACCAGTATACCAGAACCGTTGCATGCGTTGTCCGCCACTGTTATCGCGGAGTTGTCAATTTGCACGGAGGTCGACGCGTTAGGGCCACCATTGGCCAAGGACTGTCCCGTGCTCAACGCGGTAACGTCATTCTGCGGGATAACTTGCGGCATACTCGCCGAGTCCACGCACGCGAGGTTATTTTGTGCAGAGGTAGTGGCTTCTGTCATGGCCTTCATCGAGGCCACCTGACTGGCCAAATTGGTGAGTTGCCCTTGAGCCCGCGATAGAATCTGAAATGACGCGCGGATTTGCTGAAAATGTTTTCATGGCTGTTACAAGATCGTGCGCACACATTATCTCTTTGTGTTTCATGCATCGAGAGGCTCGAG